AAATGCTCTCAGTGACTCTCGTGATTATCAGTGCACTGATTCAACATGCCAGGAAATCCATCCGAAAATGTGGTGGTGTGTAACGTAATAAACCTCAACCTTACTGATGCTGTTTATTGAGTCGATGTGATTAGAGCCGGAACGAAATACTCCCCACGAGAGGATTTACGCAGAAGAGAAGGTTAATAGCTCAACACCTGATATCAGAGGGAATGAGACGCCTCTTAAAGGAGAGCTCAGAGTAATGCATCAGTGCAGAGATACAAGACTTGCATCCGGTCGGGATAATCGATCCATACTTGTTGATGGAGCGGCTCAGAGCTGTCTAACCTCTCGGTCCGAGACAGCAGTTCACAGACGACCTTGAGTGGTGTGAGTTGACACAATAGTCTCATGCTGCGTCTCAATTCGCCTACTTATACTTCGCCCTGAAAGAATGTACTCTTTTGGTGAAGAAAAAGTAGATGCTTTTGAGTGTGTGGCAAAAAGGTTTGGGTCATCCAATTGCGTCTTTAACGGTTGCTTGCTGTCGCATAAACTGGCGTGTCAATCATCTTGTCATAGTTAAAATCCTCCACATTTTATTTGATTTAATTTACTACCGTATCGGAGAGAAATGAAGCACGTTGATCTGCAGTCGCGGGTCTTTCATGCGGAGAATCTCCTCATTTTAATGCATGATGATTAGTGGTCGACCAATATATCGCCAAGGCCGATATATCGGGCGATATTTGGCATTTTTAAAATATCGGCATCGGCCGATACGTTTTTCTGATTTTCTGAAGGGGACTTTTATTTTGACGGTGCTCCGGACTTTTATTTTAGCATTTATTACAATGTTGCTAGCATGTTTCCAGCATGATTTAACACGTTGCTAGCATGATTTAACACGTTGCTAGTATGTTTCTAGCATGATTTAACACGTTGCTAGCATGATTTAACACGTTGCTAGTATGTTTCTAGCATGATTTAACACGTTGCTAGCATGTTTTAGCATGTTGCTACGATGTTAAGATTTTTTTAGCTTGTTGTCTTAGGATAATCGTCAAGCATTGCTAGTGAAAGACAACTTAATACTCTATAACTCTCATTGTGCAAAAGTGGGACTTTTCATAGTTTCGATCGTCCGTTTAATAAAAATCGTAAGTCGGATCAGTTAAAAAAGATTTAACATATATAGTCAGAAAGGTCGGAAAGCTGTAGAGAAGATAGTTTAAAGACCCCCTGTAGTCAATTTGTATCCCTTAAAACTCTTCACGCCTTTAAATAACCATGAATATGCAAATGAGCCCCGCCTCCACTCACTCACTCACTCAGCTCAGAGATCCACTGGTTGACGATCACACGTTGATCTGATTGGTTACAAGGTCGTTTGTGACGTCAGAAACACCAGCGATTTCAAACCGTGTTTTTGAGACTGAAAATACTCAGCAATGCTGTCGACTTATGAATTTACACATGGTTTGTCTTAAAGCATATTAAAAACACCACATAGACACATAAACAACATTAAAAACTGGATTTTCACCACAGGGGGACTTTCCATGTGAAAAATTCATGTGTTAGTACAGTCAATGAAATTACATACAACACCTTAAAATCAGGCTTTCTCAAGCCAACATAATGAGTCTTTCTTCACTGCGTCACACTTTCTCTTTACTGATTTGCTAATTAAACTGACATTTTGAAGTAGACCGACTGAAATCGTATTTTGTTGTCAGACATACTCCAGTAATCTTTTTGTTTTTCACAGTTCAAGTTTGATCTGGACAGTTTGCTTCTGAGCACTGAAGATTAGAAACTTATTCTGTTGTTGTTGCATTAGTATTTAACGTCACTCAGTTTGACCTCTCTATTACAATGATATCAGCATTCATATTAAACTCATGATTGTTTGCTCACCAAAGCCTCTAAATCTCAGTTGTACGTGGATTACTGGAGCGTCTCGACTTCATCCAACACCTCTAAACTGACCCACATTTGGATTGAGGATGACCTCACTGTCACAGCCATTATGCCTGCGGTCACCGTGGTAATCTGTGGTCACATGACTCCTGCGGTCACATGACTCCTGCTGTCAGGAGGAACAGGGGTCATCTGAAAACAAGAGAGGATAAAACAATAAGCCATGAGAGACTGTGTGTTACAAACTCTTTTATAAACCAGCAATATGATGAAAGCTATATATATACACACAGTATCTCACAAAAGTGAGTACACCCCTCACATTTCAGCAAACATTTGTGTATCTCTTCTCAAGGGACAATACTATAGAAATTAAACTTGGATATACTGTCAATGTGCTGCTTGTATAGCAGTGTATACTGTCCTCTGAAAATAACTCAACATACAGCCATTATTGTCAAAATAGCTGGCAACAAAAGTGAGTAGTTTCATTTCTATTTTTCTATAGTATTGTCCCTTGAGAAGATATACTAAAATGTGAGGGGTGTACTCACTTTTGTGAGATACTGTGTATATATATATATATATATTAGTGCTGGGCAACAATTAATAGCGATAAATCCGAAATAAAAGTTTGTGTTTACATAATATATGTGTGTGTACTGTGTATTAATTATTTTGTATAATTTTCTTATCAGGCCGATAACGATAATATTAAAAATAAATAAATATATATATATCGTCCAATACCGATATGGTGGCCGAAATATTGTGCATCCCTACATAATTTACTAGAATTCTGACAAAATATTAATTGCTGCAGTCTATTTATATTTATATTATTGTTAGTATTACATTTTTTATTTTTTTATTTTTTATAATTGTATTGTGTGATTTATTTTTAGATAAATGTACTTCAAATGATTACGTTTTTTTTCTCAATAAGTATAAATTATGATATTTTGTAAAGAGAAAACAGTAGCCGTTTCAAAGCTAGATGTGTAAAAGGTGAAGGTAAATATAAGTAAAAAATAAAAAATATAAATATTTTTTTTTTTTGTAGATTTTTTTAATTTTATTTTTTTACTGTTTTAATGAATGATTCAATGACTCACTCATAAAGACTTCACTTGTTTCATTACTGGATGAATCAATGTTTTTAAATTAATCTCTTGAATTAATGATTCAATGACAAATATTTTGTTAATTTTTTACAGTTTACGTTTTACAGTCACTTGTCGCCGCCTACTGGTGTAACGATGTAATGAATCAATCTTTATTTGAAGCGTAAAGGTGATTTATACTCTATTTTGATCACTATCGTAGACATCAGTGTTTATATCCGAACTATAAACTTTTATACCACTACTTCTGTGATATGAATATTTGTAACAGATATAATGATACTTGAAAAGACTCGTCATCTATACATGACGACTGCTCTCTCTGGGTCAGAACGCAGATCTGAATGTGATGATTGTGCTCGTCAAACGCTTGATAAACATCGAGTCAAATCGTTGTCATTTAGGAATAAGATTGCATTGGTTTTTACTGTATTTAAAAAATTTTTTTTAAAGACATAGCTATCCAGTTTTTTTGTAAACATCATTAAAAAGCATCTCTAGTTGTATTGTTGTTTGTTTCATCATGCTGGCTCGGTCATAAAGCCTGTAAGTGTTTTAAAGTGAATTAAAGTCATGGACGTGTCTCACATTAGGCTATATCATTCACATTGTGTGAATCTGTTGGTTGAAGCAGACTATTTTGTGGCGTGTTGCAACCTTAAAATGACCTAAAACTTAATCGCAATTCATTATTTATTCGGCAAATAACGTTTCCATCATCAGCTTTTAAGCCGTATATCGATCAAGATAAAATCCGATGAGACCAAACGTATTTCATTTGAGTCGATATTCATGAAATTCAATCGAATTTTACTGTTTCCATAAGGCATTTTTCATTCGATATCACTTAATTCGGATAAAAACGTGTGGATGGAAACATAGCTTATGATAATGTGGATGTTTGTACAGCTTTATTGGTTTCTTCAGATTTTGATAAAAACCATGGGGCATTTTAAATCCTTATAATACCTTCAACATGGCATAAGTGTTTAACTTATCCTAAATACTCTAGAATTCGTGTTTTACATTCTCTCAAGGGTCGTAAGTGTGGCTGCAGTCAGTCTGTTTACCTGAAATATTACTATAGACTTCAGCATTTATTAATGCTCTTCTGTTTAAAGCTGCATGAAACACTTGTGCTACTGTTTTTATTTATTAATATTATGCACTTGCATTTGTTTATACACACTCATTGTTCAAATACTGTCCCATACTGCTGATTACCACAGAAAAAATAACAGCAACAGTGTGTAAAAACGAGCATAAATCGTGTTGACAGGATTGCACTTTCAATGCTGGTTTATTTGGGGTGAGATGTTGTGGTTAAAAATATGTAATTTGAGACATATTTTCTGTTATTGTGTGCTTTTCCCATTTTTATTCGTTTTTTTTTAGATATCTAGTATTTTAACATAAAGTTAAATTAAATGAAAATGAGAAATGTTGCCTCTATGGAGTTTTCTCAATGTATTTTTGGCATTCTTGCACGTATTGTATAAAAGTTACCGAATTTTATGTTTTTAAACATTTTTAACTTGTTTTGAACCCAGAATATTCTTTTAGATGGGTGCATATTTTAGGGCTGCGAACCGATTAATCGCATCCAAAATAAAAGTTTTTGTTTACAAATGTGTGTGTACTGTGTATAATTATTTTGTATGTATAAATACACACACATGCATGTATATATTTAAGAAATATTTGCATGTATATACAGTATAGCCTATATATTTTTATATAATTTATATTATATATAAATATAAATATTTTATATATAAATAACACATTTTTCTTAAATATATACATGCATGTGTGTGTATTTATATATACAAAATAATTATACACAGTACACACGCATATGTTATGTAAACACACACTTTTATTTTGGATGCGATTAGACCCATCTATCTAGACCTATATTTAGACCTATCTTACAGTGTTTTTTGTGTTTGACACCTTGTCTCTCGGCAGGCGATCATCAACAGCATGATCAGCCCCAACATGACGTTCACTAAGACGTCTCAGAAGTTCGGTCAGTGGGCCGACAGCAGAGCCAACACGGTCTACGGCCTCGGATTCGCCACGGAGAATCAGCTGCATCAGGTGTGGACATCAGGACAATAATGTCTGCTTTAATGGCCTGTTCACAGATGATGCATTGTCCCTGGTAGACCTGAAACATGCTCTGTGCAAGTCCATGAATGTAAACACTTGAGATAAGATTAAAAAAACAACATAATGCAGTTTTACACAGACATGTTTGCAAGTACTTGCATCACCTCTTCTATAATACTGCATTGTGTGGGTTTTTTTGTTGCAGTTTGCCGAGCGTTTTAAGGAGGTGAGGGAAGCTGCACGCATGGCCAGAGAGAAATCACAGGACAAGATGGAGCTGAGCTCCGCCGCTCTCAGTATCGCAGCTCCTCAGGTGTGACATCAGCTCTTTTGTGTGCAATATGTGCATAAACAGCTGAAAAAAGCACACAGACTTAAACAGAAGTAATCCTAAATTCAAAATTCTACTTTCTACACTTTAGCAGCCGCATAGCAACGCCCTGGCAACCACCCAACATTCTAGCAACCTGGCAATGCATTGAAGCCACTCCTTAGCAACCACATAGCAGCAACCTAAGAACCACTTGCAACACTATAGCAGCTGCATAGCAACGCCTTGGCAACTGCCTACCATTTTAGCAACCTGTCAACGCACTGAAGCCACCCCTTAGCAACCACATAGCAACATTCTGATTCCTAACAACACTTCAGCAACTGCATAGCAACGCCCTGGCAAACACCCAACATTCTTAAAGCCTGGCAATGCATTGAAGCCACTCCATAGCAACCACATAGCAACATTCTAACAACCACTCACAACACTTCAGTGGCTGCATAGCAACGCCCTGGCAACCACCCAACATTCTTATAACCTTGCAATACATTGGAACCACTCCTTAGCAACCACATATCAACATCCTAACAACCATTCACAACACTTCAGCAGCTGCATAGCAACGCCCTGGCAACCACCCAACATTCTTACAGCCTGGAAATGCATTGAAGCCACTCCTCAGCAACCACATAGCAACATCTTAACAAACACTTGAGCAGCTGCATAGCAACGCCCTAGCACCAACCCAACATTCTAACAGCCTGGCAATGCATTGAAGCCACTCCTCAGCAACCACATAGCAACATCTTAACAACCCCTCACAAACACTTCAGCAGCTGCATAGCAACGCCCTAGCAACCACCCAACATTCTAACAGCCTGGCAATGCATTGAAGCCACTCCTCAGCAACCACATAGCAACATCTTAATAACCACTCACAATACTTCAGCGGCTTCATAGCAACACCCTGGCAACCACCCAACATTCTTATAGCCTTGCAATACATTGGAACCACTCTTTAGCAACCACATATCAACATCCTAACAACCATTCACAACACTTCAGCAGCTGCATAGCAACACCCTGGCAACCACCCAACATTCTTACAGCCTGGAAATGCATTGAAGCCACTCCATAGCAACCACATAGCAACATCTTAACAACCACTCTCAACCACTTCAGCAGCTGCATAGCAACGCCCTAGCAACCACCCAACATTCTAACAGCCTGGCAGTGCATTGAAGCCACTCCCCAGCAACCACATAGCGACATCTTAACAACCACTCACAACACTTCAGCAGCTGCATAGCAACGCCCTGGCAACCACCCAACATTCTTACAGCCTGGCAATGCCTTGAGCCCATTCCTTAGCAACCACATAGCAACATCTTAACAACCACTCACAACACTTCAGCAGCTGCATAGCAACCCCCTGGCAACTGCGCAGAACACCCTAGTTTTGCACTGGCAAACATGATTTATTTTCACACAGTTTCTGCTTTGTTTCTCAGAGATATTTTGTGTCTGTGGTAAACTAAGAGTTACTGTAATCCTAGACCCACCTCACGAGAGAGAGAGAAAGAGAAAGAGCGCAGGATGAGCTGGGTCATTCGTCTCACTGGGAAGTGAGAGGAGAACTAGGACAGTGATAAAATTATCCGGAGCTGTCCTGCGCACTCTCTGCCAGCGTCTGTCTTCTCGAATGATGCTCTTCTTTTCAGGTCAACAGGCTGTTGAAGTGACGCAGACCTCTCGACCGCCCGTTTGTTCTGATATTCACACTGATTTCTGCACGATGTGCTTCAGTTTCGCTTCTGTCAGCTTCCGTTCTCATTGTGTCGAATCTAAGAGGACAAGATCATTCCTCAGCACCGGAATGCGATTGTCAGTCATGTTTTATAGTGTTAAACATGGTTACATTCACACACAGTTTGGTTATAAACCAGAGTGACATCTGCAACCTAGAACCAATCAAGATTCACGTCTAATACTAGCAATGAAATAAGAATTCTATGACTAAATTAAAAGATTGAATCTTTAAAATGTGTACTAAAATTTTAATTAAAATACACACACACACACATAAAAGTTTGTTTATATAATATATATTTATATGTTAGATGTGATTAATCGTTTTGACAGCACTAATTATATATTTCTGACTTAAATATTGACTTTATCAAGTTTTTATCAAATTTTTGGATCACTGAATCACTGAGATACTCTTATAGAATCATACCATAAAATAAGGTAGTTTATTTTTATATGTTCTGTTTTCATTTTAATTTTGAACTTCAAATAATTTTGTGTGTTTTGTCATTTTTATTAGTTGTCTATTTAAAAAAAACTGTCTATTAATATTTATTTCAGTTTTAGTTATTTTTAGTGTTTTTAGTACATTCAGAGTCAATTGTTGCATTGGCAACTAGCTGAAATAAAATAAGTTTAAGTTTCTTTTATAGATTTTGTATAATTTCACTATGAGGTTTATATTTTAATGGTTTTAGTTTAAGTTAACTATAATAACCCTGAAGCCGGTCGATATATTTCATTTAAAAGGATTTATTTCACATGAACGCATTGCTTTAATTTAAACTGTGTTTTTGACAGCTAAAACAAATTGATATCATTTAAAAATGAAAATATTTTTATATGCAAATATGTATTTATTTGAAATAAATTGGATAATATATTTTCAAGTGCTACAATGGCCTCCAACCACTACAAAATACTGACTTCAGTTCAATATTTTGATCTAGGTTTTAATGAATTTGAATGGCGCTAAATGTTTCTGACACCAAAAGTGTGTGAAATGTGATTTCTTCTTCCCCTCCCCATGATAAATGATGTAAATGCCTGTATGTTTTATCGTTTTCTCTCATGCTTTCGATCCGGACGCTGTCAGTTCTCTCAGGTGAGTTTGACATCGGCTCACGGCACACGTCAGCATTAGCACAGATGTTTGCACAGGGGTTCAGGGATATTAGCAGACGCTGTTGATGTGGTAAAGGGGGTTTGTGCTTTATCACGTTATAACACACACATCACGTGTCCCATGAGCTCCACAATCAGTGACTCCCACGGTGAACCCTGTAGCATCATCTGCACTGCAGAAGAAGAAATCAGGTCATTTTTACATGTGACAGAGAGGGATGCTTTTTCCTTTCACCATAAAATAGTTAAATTTCATAGTTGCGCTTCTGCTCATTAATAGTGAATTTGCTCACTTTTCTATAATAAGGCTGAGAATGACTTTTTCCTGGATTTCATTCGAAAAAGTTTGTGCTGTTGAGCTGCATGTTGCTGTTATCATGATTCAAGATTACGAGACAGGAATTTAACAACAAAAAATGTACAAAAAAAATTTGATTTTACTATTTTAAAGTGACGTATTGTACTTACAACTACATGTACTTACTATAGAGTTACGCTTAGGGTTTGGTTCAGGGTTAGTTATTTGTAGTTATACATAATTTACTGTTATAATAGTAAGTGCATGTAACTACGTCAACTTAAAATTAAGTGTTACCAAAAAATATAATCCAAAATAATGATGTGCACAGATAAATCATTTATAATAAATACTGCAATATTCCATGAAAAATAAGAATTGTCTGTTTTGATTTCATGGTGACTTTAATGGTGACTTTTTTACAGTCTTGAAAAGTACCAAAAGATATATATATATATAACTACACTGAACAAAATTATAAACGCAACACTTTTGTTTTTGCCCCCTTTGAGCTGAATTTAAACTTTTCTATGTACACAAAAGGCCTATTTCTCTCAAATATTGTTCACAAATCTGTCTAAATCTGTGTTAGTGAGCACTTCTCCTTTGCCGAGATAATCCATCCACATCACAGGTGTGGCATATCAAGATGCGGATTAGACCGCATGATTATTGCACAGGTGTGCCTTAGGGCTGTCCACAATAAAAGGCCACTCTAAAATGTGCAGTTTTACTGTATTGGGGGGGTCCGAAAAAAAAAAAAAATAGGTTGTTGATTGTGGCCTGTGAAATGTTGGTCCACTCCTCTTCAATGGCTGTGCGAAGTTGCTGGAAATTGGCAGGAACTGGAACACGCTGTCGTATACGCCGATCCAGAGCATCCCGAACATGCTCAATGGGTGACATGTCCGGTGAGTGTGCTGGTCATGCAAGAACTGGGATGTTTTCAGCTTCCAGGAATTGTGTACAGATCCTTGCAACATGGGGCTGTGCATTATCCTGCTGCTCGTGGATGAATGGCACAACAATAGGCCTCAGGATCTCGTCACGTATCTCTGTGCATTCAAAATGGCATCAATAAAATGCACCAGTGTTCGTTGTCCATAACATACGCCTGCCCATACCATAACCCCACCGCCACCATGGGTCACTCGATCCGCAACTGCTCACCCACACGACGCCATACACGCTGTCTGCCATCTGCCCTGTACAGTGAAAACCTAGCCTGGTTAAAACCAGACCATTCTCAGTTGTAACTGAGTTATGGTCTGGCAAAGCGTCATAGACAAATCATTTCCAGAGGGGCGTCACCAACGGACGTCGCGGATAGACCTAAACCCAATCAGAGCGATGAAGGAGATGACGTATGCAGAGTGGCGGGAGAAACCTCTCCGAGTGTTGTTCTTTGCTCGGTTTTTAACAAAAAGGAAACATTCAAATCGCTTAAAACAGGCGCGATAGCTGATTCGAACGAGTGATGTTCGACGGCGGCATCCATCTTTGTAATGTAGGCTACAAAATCTGCTTCAAAATCCCAGCGCTGTCGTCATCGTGTAAAGCCCGCCCCAACGTTTCTGATTGGTGCCTCGATTTCGGCGGATTGGAAATGGGCTTGAATGAGCTCTTTGCCAGACTAACTTTCAGAGCAAATCTAAATTTGCCGGAAGTTGTCTGGGTTTTCCCAGGCTAGTGAAAACCGGGATTCATCCGTGAAGAGAACACCTCTCCAAAGTGCCAGACACCATCGAATGTGAGCATTTACGCACTCAAGTCGGTTACGACGACGAACTGCAGTCAGGTCGAGACGAGCATGCAGATGAGCTTCCCTGAGACGGTTTCTGACAGTTTGTGCAGAAATTGTTTGGTTATGCAAACCGATTGTTGCAGCAGCTGTCCGGACGGCTGGTCTCAGGCGATCTTGGAGGGGAAGAAACTGGATGTGGAGGTCTTGGGCTGGTGTGGTTACACGTGGTCTTCGGTTGTGAGGCCGGTTGGATGTACTGCCAAGTTCTCTGAAACGCCTTTGGAGATGGCTTATGGTAGAGAAATGAACATTCAATTCACGGGCAACAGCTCTGGTGGACATTCCTACAGTCAGCATGAATGAATGTGTTTGGGATGCTCTGGATCGGCGTATACGACAGCGTGTTCCAGGTCCTGCCAATATCCAACAACTTCGCACAGCCATTGAAGAGGAGTGGACCAACGTTTAACAGGCCACAATCAACAACCTATTTTTTTTTTTTTTTTTGGACCCCCCCAATACAGTAAAACTGCACATTTTAGAGTGGCCTTTTATTGTGGACAGCCCTAAGGCACACCTGTGCAATAATCATGCGGTCTAATCCGCATCTTGATATGCCACACCTGTGAGGTGGATGGATTATCTCGGCAAAGGAGAAGTGCTCACTAACACAGATTTAGACAGATTCGTGAACAACATTTGAGAGAAATAGGCCTTTTGTGTACATAGAAAAAGTCTTAGATCTTTGAGTTCAGCTCATGAAAAATAGGGCCAAAAACAAAAGTGTTGCATTTATAATTTTATTCAGTGTGTATATATATATATATATATATATATATATATATATATATATATAAAATTAATTATTTATGTACAAGTAAAAAGTAATAAGAGTTATTTGTCACTTACAGTATCTATGTGTATGTGTGTGTGTGTATATATACACACATACACAATAAGTGATTTATACATTTCAAATTTTATTACATTATTGACTTGTTGTCAATGTATCACTCAGTTATGTTGCCTTGTTCAGTTTTGTGACTTCTTATTATCATATTATAGTGTATTATTACAATTCTAATATAGCGATATTGGTATCCTGTGACATATTTTGTTCATAATATACCAACATGATAAAAAACATTAGAAAAAAAATGTACAGTGTCACATGCAAAAAAACATTCACGTCTATAGAATAATGGGATTAAGTTCAATATCAAAAGTAATTCATAGGGACACGCAGCGATATATGATAATCAATTTTTAGTTTTTACTAATAATGTAATAAGTTATGTTTAACTCAGTTGTCTGTGTTTAAAGGATTAACTTTGAAGCCTGTCAGTGTGAGTCAGACAGACGCTGAGCTGTCGGTGTGTGTCTGGATTCATGTGATAATAGTTTTTGTGTGTGTGTGTGTGGTAGGACCTGTCTGATGAGCTGCAGTCTCCTCCAGTGATGTGTGTGAACGGGCCGGACGACAAGCTTTTCAGGAGTCAGAGCGCTGATATTACTCTGTCCTCGGAGAAGGAGCGCATTAAAAAGATGCTCTCAGAGGGGTAAGGCTTCAGCTAATGTAGCGCATTCTCTGGCTATCCACGTTTGTGGAGAAGTAATCGAGAAGAAAGTGTGTAACATCCAATTATCACACTAATGGGCCTTTGAAAGAGCCCATAAAATGCCTCTAAATCCATTTTTCTTGAACTATTACAGGCCTCTTTACCATATGAGTTAGTAGTAATAACAATCATTCTGATCACCATAGTAAGCACTTATAGCACACGTGTATTATGGCGCTGGATTTCGCACAGGAGATGTATCGACATTTCGGCAACCAAAATAATATTTTTCACCCTTTTGGAAGGCCGAAATCATTAAACCCAAGCAATGACGTTTAGTTAGCGTTTCTCCGATGGTACGTTTTGACTCCATGTCTGTCAGTGGCTGTGTTTCCATCCAAAGTTGTGAATTTAACTTGGAATGTTGCATAAAACATTTCTGAATAAAAGTAGCGTTTCCACTCACTTCACATGTTCAAGAGAACAAAATCGACACTTCCTGGGAAATTGGCGCTAAATATCTGTAGTAAAAATTATTTTCTGCAATCGGGGAAGAGAAACTGTGACTCTTTTTTCCTACATGATAAATGACTCCCATAAACATTGATGTTCTCTTCTGCGTACGGATGCTGGTGTTTGTGAACGCAGTCGTGTGAGACGCTTCTGGAGGGAATTAAACCAAATCATTCTGATGGCAGACTTCGGTTCAAGTGTTTCAGAACAAATGAGATGCTCAAATGTCCGCTGGCGTCACGAAAACGGCACTGAGACTTGGGTTATGATCCAAATGCAGTTTTATTTGGGATATTCAAAATCATAATCCATGTAACATGCAGAGGATCAAAACCAAGGCAAACGATGACAGACTCCAAGACACAAATCCAGGGAAACGGAGAAAAACAAGACCATAAATCATGACCTGGGAAACGAGAGAGCGCTCAGAAATGCAGTGTGACACTAGCAAGACTTCGCAAAGAGTGCGAGAAAACACATGTGCTGCGTCCCAATTCGCCTACTTATACTACTCCCTAAAAGTATGTACTCTTTTTGTGAAGAAAAAGTACATACTTTTGAGTGTGTAGCAAAAAAGTAAGAAAATCTTTGGGACATACTACTTCGTCATCTTTAACGGACAGCTATGTCGCGTGCATCCTATCACCCTAAACTGCCCTGTCAATCATCTCGTCACCCTAAACTGCCCTGTCAATCATCTCGTCACCGTAAACTGCCCTGTCAATCTCCCTGTCACAGTAAACTGCCCTGTCAATCATCCTGTCACCGTAAACTGCCCTGTCAATCATTCTGTCACCGTAAACTGCCCTGTCTATCATCCTGTCACCGTAAACTGCCGTCAATCATCCTGTCACCGTAAACTGCCCTGTCAATCATCTCGTCACCGTAAACTGCCCTGTCAAATATCTCGTCACCGTAAACTGCCCTGTCAATCATCCTGTCACTGTAAACTGCCCTGTCAATCATCCTGTCACCTTAAACTGCCCTGTCAATCATCTCGTCACCGTAAACTGCCCTGTCAATCATCTCGTCACCGTAAACTGCCCTGTCAATCATCTCGTCACCGTAAACTGCCCTGTCAATCATCTTATCACCGTAAACTGCCCTGTCAATCATCCTGTCACCGTAAACTGCCCTGTCAATCATCCTGTCACCGTAAACTGCCCTGTCAATCATCCTGTCACCGTAAACTGCCCTGTCAATCATCTCGTCACCGTAAACTGCCCTGTCAATCATCCTGTCAAGGTAAACAATCATCTCGTCACCGTAAATTGCCCTGTCAATCATCTTATCACCGTAAACTGCCCTGTCAATCATCCTGTCACCGTAAACTGCCCTGTCAATCATCTCGTCACCGTAAACTGCCCTGTCAATCATCTTATCACCGTAAACTGCCCTGTCAATCATATCGTCACAGTTAAAATCCTCCATTCTATCTAATATAATTTCTTACCATTTCGGAGAGAAATGTTGGATATGTAGTTTTTAAAAAAAAAAAAACTTTTCACTCGTGTTTGTTGTTCTAACTGAATCCTCGTCTAACGCGCGACGGGTTGTGGGCAATATCAGCCGTTAGCGTGTTCACGGATCTGCACTTCGGATTCTGACCGTAAATAGTAGACCATCCGGGTCTCTTTGGGACACTCATTTCAACATACTACGATTTGGGACGTACTAATTCTATTTTTGAATATTATTTAGGACGGGAAGTATGCGAATTGGGACGCAGCACATAAATCATGACCAGGGAAAACGAGAGAGCGCTCAGAAACGCTAGCAAGACTTCGCAAAGAGTGCGAGAAAACACAAGGTTTATACACTCACCGGCCACTTTATTAGGTACCCCATGCTAGTAACGGGTTGGACCCCCTTTTGCCTTCAGAACTGCCTCAATTCTTCGTGGCATAGATTCAACAAGGTGCTGGAAGCATTCCTCAGGGAGTTTGGTCCATATTGACATGATGGCATCACACAGTTGCCGCAGATTTGTCGGCTGCACATCCATGATGCGAATCTCCCGTTCCACCACATCCCAAAGATGCTCTATTGGGTTGAGATCTGGTGACTGTGGAGGCCAGTTTAGTACAGTGAACTCATTGTCATGTTCAAGAAACCAATTTGAAATGATTAGAGCTTTGTGACATGGTGGAAGTAGCCATCAGAGGATGGGTACATGGTGGCCATAAAGGGTCAGAAACAATGCTCAGGTAGGCCGTGGCATTTAAACGATGCCCAATTGGCACTAAGGGGCCTAAAGTGTGCCAGGAAAACATCCCCCACACCATTACACCACCACCACCAGCCTGCACAGTGGTAACAAGGCATGATGGTTCCATGTTCTCATTCTGTTTACGCCAAATTCTGACTCTAACATCTGAATGTCTCAACAGAAATCGAGACTCATCAGACCAGGCAACATTTTTCCAGTCTTCAACTGTTCAATTTTGGTGAGCTCTTGCAAATTGTAGCCTCTTTTTCCTATTTGTAGTGGAGATGAGTGGTACCCGGTGGAGTCTTCTGCTGTTGTAGCCCATCCGCCTCAAGGTTGTGCGTGTTGTGGCTTCACAAATGCTTTGCTGCATACCTCGGTTGTAACGAGTGGTTATTTCAGTCACTGTTGCCCTTCTATCAGCTCGAACCAGTCTGGCCATTCTCCTCTGACCTCTGGCATCAACAAGGCATTTCCGCCCACAGAACTGCCGCTCACTGGATGTTTTTTCTTTTTCGGACCATTCTCTGTAAACCCTAGAGATGGTTGTGCGTGAAAATCCCAGTAGATTAGCAGTTTCTGAAATACTCAGACCAGCCCTTCTGGCACCAACAATCATGCCACGTTCAAAGTCACTCAAATCAACTTTCTTCCCCATACTGATGCTCGGTTTGAACTGCAGGAGATTGTCTTGACCATGTCTACATGCCTAAATGCACTGAGTTGCCGCCATGTGATTGGCTGCTTAGAAATTAAGTGTTAACGAGCAGTTGGACAGGTGTACCTAATAAAGTGGCCGGTGAGTGTATACAAAGATATTAACAAGCTAATGACACACAGGAGGATGTAATCACACGATAATGAGTCCAAGCAGAGGTTTATGGGAAATGTAGTTCATGATGGAATGGCAAATGACTACGGTATTACACGTCATCATGAGGTTTTTTTTTGTTGCACATACTAGAGGAATTCATTCATTTTCCATCATATTTTATGCGCATGTCTTCTTATCGGATGAAAGCGAGACCGAGTACGCAAGTTTTTTTGAATTTATGCATATCTTGGCATTACAATATCCCAAAATTCACATATAAACATTGGATGGAAACATAGCAATGTGTAAAACTACCGCAGGTAAGCATGTCAGGACGCTAGGAATATCGATTTCTCGTTTTTAAGCAATCTTCATTTTGATAAACCGAGATCTTATGTTGTGCTGTTTTCAGTCTCGATGCATGAACAAAACTTCACTTTATATTGTAACACAGAAAGATTGCCAGTATTACAGCTTGTGGAAAGTGTGTCACGTAACATTACATTCACCTCAGGAAAGCCATTCATTGTCCATAAACTCGTTAGTCAGCTAGAAGAAGAAAAACATTTTAATAAAACTATATGCAGTATATTACATATTCATTATATTTTTACTTAACCTGTTGTCTTCATTATTTTATGTATATTGAAATGAATCTGTCATGAAAACAAGTTTTACTACAGCCACCGTTTAAATGTTTTAATGTTAACAACGAATTAGAGTAGAAACATGTCATTGTGAAGTTGATATAAAACTGAATTAAGTGCAATTTAAATGCAAATTATATACAGTATAATTACCCAACTATAATTGCGAGAGAAGGCAAAATCATTGAAATATGTTTTATATTATATATCATATTTTTTCCCATCACCATGTCCCGTTAGGGACTTTACTTTCCTGCACATCCCTAATTACTTGTTTATTAAATAAACTTTACTTTCGGTTACTTTCAGTTTTTGGCTAAATGGAAACTTTATTTTTAAACAGAAACATGACCTTATGAAATTAATCATTTAGAAAACGTAAACATCTAGTTTTTGTTTCCAGTGTCAATTTGGTATTTTTCTATCGTGAAGCAACACATTCAGGGGTCTTACATCGGGAGAGACTCTGTCCTGATCTGCCATGAGTCTGATGAGTGTGATGAGTGTTACTAATCAGACTAAACACACACACAAACTCACACGCATGCACACGCACGCACACGCACACACACACACACACACACACACACACACACACACACACACACACACACACACACAGACTCACTCACTCGCTCACACACACACACACACACACACACACACACACACACACACACACACACACACACACACTGACACTCTTTTCTATCAGGGTTGCTCACTCACTCACTCACTCTCTCACACACACACACAGACAGACTCACACACACAGACACACTCACTCGCGCTCACACACACATACTCAACCACACTG